CTCCTCATCTGTCCTCCCGTGCTCCGCACGACTATGAACGAAAATGTCGTCAAAGTATATCTGTGCATACTCCTTGTGAGGCCTGATCAACTGCGTCACAAGACGATTAAATGTTGCTGGTGCATTTGACAATTCTTGGGGCATCACTAGCCACTCCCAGAACATGCCGCTCGGAGTGCTCACCGCTGTTAGCGGAATATCACTGGCTCTCATGAGCAATTGGTAATACCCATCGACCATGTCGAGTGCACTGTACTTCGTACATCCGACCATGTTGTTTTGAAGAACATCCTCTCTAGAAACTGGCGTTTGTGTCAGAACGGTGGCAGCTTTGAGCTTATTGTAAGAGCGAACGATACGCGACTTGCCGTTCGATTTCCAAACTCAAAACATGGGTGTCGAATGGGGAGACTTGCTCTCACGTACTATTTCTGCGTCGTGCTTCCTACGGAAAACAGCGTCAATGACGTCGCACATCTCATTGGGCAGGGGCCATTGGCGTATAACGCAGTATTTGGTTCTCGGAACCAGGTCGATCTCATGACACACACCTCGGTCTGGGGGTAGGACCAAAGGTGGGTCTTTGTAGACGACATCTTGAAATTCGTTTACCAAAGAATGATACGGATCCAAGGGATTCCGTAGGATCAACGATATACTTCGCACGCTCAGCACTCTCTTGGTGTCCTCTAAGACAGCTTCATCCAGAAGCGATGACAAGTAAATCTCCTCGTCCGGTCGTACGATGACCACTTTGATCAAATCGCCTGTCTACAAGGCACTGCCGAGCTCTTCAAGGGACATCTCGTCGAGCTCAGAAGAGCATCTACTGCAGGAATAGCCTCGAGACAGACGTCGCCATCTTCCTCCCCCGTAGTAACGTAGACGAGAGTGTATATCTGTGCACCGTCATCTAAGGTAGACACACCCTGGATCAGGGTCGAGGCCCGGCGTCTTGCAGCCAGCATACGACGTCGCCGTCGCCTCTGTACAGAGGTTCTATGTCTCGCTGAGGCCAGGGTAAATACGCACTCCGCGTCGTCCGGTGTCACCCTCACTTTCCGATCCTTTGGAGCTCTGATGTTATCTACAACATCCGACGAAGAAATGCTGACCCCGTAGCCCTCGTCAAGTGGATAGCGTGCCACTTCACGCGTATCTGAAGGGCGTGCCCAAGATGCCTCGGACTCTATTTGACCACGCCATCAATGACATGCAGCAACTGCTTCGCAGCGAGAGCAGTGCTCAGTGGTTTACGTGATGTCGTTTCCCCGCGACGAACCAGACTGGTAGGCGTTGGAGCGATGGTTTAGAGAACCTTGACGCGCCTTGCGCAAGGGCAAGCGTTCCGCAGGTGACGAGTGTCCCCACAGACAAAACACCGACGTGTGTTTGCGTGCTACCCGGCAGCCCGGAGCTCTGCTCCCTCGTCCCAAGCATAGCTGAGATCCATGGGCATAGGCTCGCTCGACGAGCTGTTGAAGTGTGCGTTCCAACCAAGTCGTGCCGACTTGAAATTGAATTCGGCATTCAATGTTACATTCACCGCCTCCTCAAACGAAGACGGATACACACGGAAGATCTCCATTCTGTCCACGCCAGTGCGGAGGGCTTCCATAAAGACGGTCGCTGTGACCGCCTCCGGAAGGAGATCTGCTGCCATCCCAGCAATGAGAGTTGGCATCTCTTGGACAAAGTCCACCAATTCCTTGTTGCCTGTCGGGCGGCAAGGAAACGATATCC